GAAACACTGATTCTTGAACAGAAAGCCGGGCTCGTCCCTCTGGGGGAAGGAACATTCAAAAGTAAAATGGGAACTTTCTCGGCAGCATGAATACCACTGTCATTCAACATTTATAAATAACTCTCAAACTGCAAGACAAAAAATAATAAAGAAATAGGTGACGGCTCAAAAAAACAAAACAAAGAAAAAAGCTGATGGTATTCAACTGTACATGGGTTTGTAATTTTTTTTTCTTCTTCCAGACAAAACAAAACATATGGATGAAAACAAAAAACAACATATTTCTCCTTTTTCACTGCAGGTTGTGGATCATCTCTTCCTTGGCAATGAGATGAGTGGTCTTGTTGACCAGAGACATGAGAGAGCTGAGTTTGTGTGACCAGTTGTTGAGCAGGTCGTTGGGGTCTTTTGGCCTCTGAAAGTTGATGATGCCGTTTGAGAAGTTTGAGAAGTCGCACGGAGTCAACAACACCCTGGATACTGAGATCATCCCAAAGTCAGACCATGAGGAAGAGGAGGAGACTCACACCCTCATTGTGGAGGGCTTCTAGCTTTACACCTACAGACCCTTGATCGACGTGCTGAACCAGCATTTCTGTATTTCCATCCCATACGAAGAATGCAAAAAGAGGAGGTGCTCCAGGAACTACATGGTGCCAGACCCCCCCGGCCTGTTTGATGGTCATGTCTGGCCCATGTGCTTGAAACATAAGAACATATCTGAGAATGTATATATATATATATATATGAGCACAAAGTGGATTCTTCAGAACAGAGTGTGCATTGTCAGTGAGTGAGCATTCAGCCTTCAACTGCTTCATGTCTGCGAGGAAGGAGAGGTGTGAAAACCTCTAGGGCCACATGTTTCTAAATTTCTAAAGTTGTTCAACCTCCCTGATGAACTGACAAAGCCTGAAGTTAATTCGTGGTATGACAAAAAACAACAACATGTCAATCAAATGTCTTACTAGTTATGCACAGTCGTCCACTAACTATTTGAAGAAAATGCCCAACATGTAAGAAAAATGCTCAACATGTTCAAAGTCCTTATATGTTTGGCACAGAGTCTAACTAATGAGACAAAATGCCTTCCACTAGTAAGGTTGTGGGGGAAAAAATCAGTGTCACTAGTTAACTAGTAGCTCTTTTTGCACCTAACTAGTTTACTAGTAAGATAATATGGCTGTAACTAGTACGGCCAAAAAAAAAACCCAACTGGTCTAACTAGTAGAATAGAATAGAATGCCTTTAATGTCATCACACAATGAAGCATGGCGAAATTACAGCAGCTACCACTAAAAGGTGCATTTAGTAAAAAAAAGAAATACAATATAACAATAAAATAAACATGTTTACAGGACGATAAAAACTATACAAAATGTGCAAAGAGAGGTGTAAGAAGAGGTAGTTGTGGTTGATTGTAGTGCAAAGTAGGTAGTTACGAAGTTACAAAGTAGGTAGTTAAAGCTGAAATATATAGGAGTTATTTTATTGAGTTCAGTGTTCTGACAGCCCAAGAAATAGAAGCTGTTCCTCAGTCTGTTTGTTCTGCATTTTAATGACCTGAGCCGCTTCCCAGACGGCATCAGGTTAAAGGCACACCGCCTGAGCAGCCCCAGAAAGAATGGGGGAGTGTTAAAAATCGACTTCTGTGTAACTACAGGAGAAGAACACTGTCACCTGGGGGTGGAAAAACAGATTTGTTTCGTGCAGGCATCTACAGCGTCTACCAGCAGATGTCAGTGTGGGATTTGTATGTGGGGAGCCGAAAGTTTCAGTTTATACCAGCAGATGTCAGTGCGGGACTTGTTTGTGGGGAGCTGCGAGTTTCCTTTCAAGGTACACCGCCTGAGCAGCCCCAGAAAGAATGGGGGGGTGTTTTGAAAAAAACGACTTCTGTGTTACTACAGGAGAAGAACACTGTCACCTGGTTGTATAGGGAATATGAAGGGCAACCGGAGGGTTACAGGCACACCGCCTGAGCAGCCCCAGAAAGAATAGGGGGGTGTTTTAAAAATCGACTTCTGTGTAATTAGTGTATAGGGAATAAGAAGGGCAACGGGAGGATTAAACAGTCCGGGAGAGTTAAACAGTCCATGTCCAGGGTGGAAAGTGTCCCTGGAGATTCTCTGCGCTCTGCTGAGGCAGTGGGAGCTTGCAATGTGTTCCAGGGGGGGCAGAGGGGAGCCAGTGATCCTCTCTGCGGCCCTGGTAATCCTTTGCAGAGCCCTCCTGTCTGCAGTCGAGCAGACGGTGAAC